GTAGACGAATTTGTTTCTTTTTGATGTACAAACCCCTCTTTTGTCACTCTATTCCCAACGTCGGTCACCTTCTTGGTTCTCTTAGCCACCATCTTCACCCTTATTACAGGCGGTTTCATGCCCTATTTTCGTGGGATTTCAGGTTCACAATTATGGATCGTCCCTCACAGTGCTTCTTCACGGGTCGAGACTAGTTTCTCAGGATATGATTCAGTGGACAAATCTGGAGTTTCCGGTTTTGGGTTTTCTTTATTTGTGGGTGTATTTGGGGAAGACGATGAGCAGAAAAGTTGAGACCCGAATGTTGTGAATTAGAGATTTCATTAAGAACCAAAGATGGTAGAGCTGGGTGTGAGATCTATAGAGCGATGCGGGGGGTTTAGGGGATTTGAATGAGTAAGATTTGGTAACACGATTGTTGCAGCTTCCACTGTTGCAACTTTTTTTTTAGGATTCCTGCATTGTAAAGTGGATTATCGAGAGATATATATATATATATATATATATATATATATATATATATATATAGAGAGAGAGAGAGAGAGAGAGAGAAAGAGAGAGATGGGAACCATTGTATATTAAAATAATTATTTTTTCTTTTTTCTTTTTTTTTAATAACAAAAAACTCATAAATGGTTCCTGTAATCGTGAAATGCTGAAAATGTCCTTCACTTAACGGATAAAACTTGACGGAGTTATCAATAAGGACATTTTGTTAAAAGTTTTGAAACCACAGGGACCATCCGTGAGGTTTTTTAAATTAGGGATGAAACTTCAGATTTTGTGAAACCACATGGACCATTTATGAAGTTTTGTCAATATTTAATTTAAAAAAAAATCATATTTTTAGATTTTTTTTTGAACGGATATTTAGTTATTAGTAGTATCATTGAATTAATTAAATTCGTTAATACCCGGAATAGACCCGAGACCTCCAATCTAAAACCTTGTTCTTGAGTTTATTTAGGGAGTGAAATGGAAAGGAATGGAATTAATTTAAAGGGGAAATGTGTTGTTGAGTTTTTTTTTAAGATGGAAGTGATATCTTTGGGCCCCTTGATGATTTGTTGTTGACATCTGAAGTGCTTGGCTGGTCCCTGACTAAATTGATGCTTTCAATTAGTAGTCTGAATTCAGTCGTCATAAATCAGAAAATCGAGAAACATAACCTTGGACTATGAGATTGATTCTAATTCATGTCTCACGTCCATACAATATCTTGTAGAACGAAGGAATAGATGATCACTTATCTTAGGGCTAACGCTTGATTTGAATCAGAGTTCGACAGTGGCTTTAGAAAACACTTTTTGTTGTTTAGTTCAAGGTCTATACTTGCAATTGTTGTTACGTACTTATCCAAGTAGAAGAATGTTGAATAAAGTGTCTAAGCCAGTAACTAAATTGATATATTATTATAATTAGAAGCAAAGTCCTTTTTAGGTTGCCCTCATAACTAGAACTTGATTAAAATGACATTTTATAGATAAATGATGAATTATTAGCTTATTATATGATTAATAAACTCATTGGAAATTGTAAGGAAATAATTTGTTAATACATTATATGATTAATATATTAATTGAAATAGAAAAATGATTTGTTAATTTATTATGATTAATAAATTAATATGAAATCAATTAAAATTAATTAATTATTAATCAGAATTAGGAAAAGTGAATGTCCATAAGATTTTCTATAAAGCTCGTGTAAGGCTAAAATGGCTTAACCATTAAGTCATAGGGAATATAGGACTTCAATGAGATTAATTAATGATAATGAAACTTATTTAGGTTGTTTAGAATAACTTGTAAGTTTGATGGATTTTGGTAACCATGTGAACAAAGTATAATGGTCAAATGGGTAAAATAAGGGGATTTTTTACTTTTTCTACACCTACAACATGAGCCCGGGTGAGCCTAAATGAGCTCGGGCAGGCCTAATTCAAATTGTCACTACTTTGGAGCTCGGGCGGGCCTAAGAATATATCATTGTCACCTAACTTGTTATACTTGTAACTTTTTCATCGGGACTCAAAATCATACTTGGTTTTTTCCTATGTTCATATATTTAACATAACGAAGATGATGAAATAAGGGAATTTCAGACTTAGGGTTAATAGATTAATAAGTGAATTAATGAATCACTTAGTAGAGTTATGATACACCTTTTGATGCTATTAGGTGAATGATGTTTGTCCAACCTAAAATTCATGGTAAATGACTTTTGATGACGTATAATGACTTATGACTAGTGATGGTATCCTAGAAAATGTATCACGTGCATGCAAATCTAGCTACTTTGTATGTGGATATATATATTCTAGTGATGGTATTCTAGACAATGCATCACTTTCATGAAAAGCTAGCTACCTTGTATACAAATATATGAGTGAGCATATATCCTGTTTATGACTTTGAGGTTCCATTATAATGTTTAGTTAGGATGTGTTACATTAATTAGATACTCTCCCATGATAACAATGTGAGGCACTTTTTACTTTCTGACTTTGTGACTTTATAACATGTGAGGTCGAGCATATGAGATTGACAGGAGAAAAGGGTTAGAAGCATCTTGTATTGCATCTACTCTTTTTATGACTCTAATATAAATATTTTGATTATGACTCTAATGACGATATTTTGATTATAACTCTAATACAGATATTTGATTACTAATCTAATGATGATATTTTAATTATGACACTAATGATGATACTTGATTACGATTTTAATGATGATATTTGATTATGACTATAATGATGATATTTTGATTATGACTTAATGACGAGTAGTGAATTGTGAACTTTATTTCAAACGACTTGTGGTATAAGAGCCAAACGACGAAGGGACATGTCGGTATGGTCGTACATTTTCATGGGGTCCATAGAATTGAGGACTAACTGGTGGGTTGCCGCAAATTAAAGGGTGATATGTTGATGAATGCTCTACCTCCATTGAAGGAAGTATCGGGGGTGGCCATATGTCGAGGATTCTGACCTCAAAGTATAAGCATTGGATCTAGTGTTGTGGTGTGCGATTGTACATGGAATCATAATTAAGGCCATTTCGAAGGGAAAGTTCATATTCCATTTGAAGATTATGTGTAACATTTTGGCGGTGCGAGAGTTTCAAAGGCCGAATATCCCATGACCATGTTGACTGACAGGAAAAAGACGATGTCATTAGATTAACTTGTCATTAGGTTTAAAAGGGACCTGCCTAGACCAAAGGCGTTGTTAGTATAGTAGTTACCGTCTAGGCGAGTTGTTGAAGAACTTAACAATGAAGGGGACCGTAGCGGTTTAGACATAACTTGTTGGTGGGATAGTGTCGCTTCCCTGATAAGCCTATTGCAGGGTGAAACCAGTTGACATATGTAATTTGGGATGGATGGTCTCAGGGTTTTATGGGGGACCTCAGGACGCAACACGGGAAAGAAATAGTGTAGAACTTGAGTCCATGAAAAGTTGTACCAGAGCCAAATGATGAACTCACATGTCAGTATGCTCGTACATTTTCGTGGGCTCTATAGAAGTGCAAACTACCTAGTGGGTTACCGCAAAATAAAGGGTGATCTATCGATGAATGCTCTGCCTCCTTGAAAGGAAGAATCAGGGGTAGCCACATGCCGAGGATTCTGAACTTAAAGTATAAGGGTTGGGATCCAGTGTTGTGGTATGTGACTGTACTTGGCATCAGAAGTAAGTCCATTTCAAAGGGAAAAAAGTTCCTCTTCCATCGTACGAGGATGTGCAACATTTTGGGAGTGGGGGAGTGTTACGTGGTGAATATCTCGTTGTCGTGTTTACTGAGAAGATGAAGGACATGCCATTGTATTATCTTGTCATTGGGTTTAAAAGGGGACCACCTAGACCAAGGACATTGTTAATCTAGTCATTGTCTTTTGGCTGAGTCGTTGAAGAGCTTGACAATGAAGGGAACGATAGCGGGTTAGACACAACCGGTCGAGGGTTATTGTTGCTTCCCTGATGAGCTCATGATAAGGTGGAATAGTTGGCATGTGTAATCTGGGAGGACTGTTGTCAGGGGTTTATAAGAGACCTTGAGATGTCACATGGGCAAGAAGCAGTGCCGAACTTGAGTCTATGACAAGTTGTATCAGAGCCAAACAATGAAGGTGTTGAAAAGAGTGTCCACGATCATTAACTTTTTTGGTAATATTTCTAATAATAGCATTGTACTTTTGGGTTGGCCTCATACCCCAAGTAGCATAAGGAAATGGATAAAAGTAAGTTGTTAATTATTAAAGAATCAATAAATTAATTAGAAATTACTTTGGAATTAATTAAAATGTTTTAATTAATTAAATAGCTTGAATATTAAATAATTCATAGAGATTAATTTGGAATATTGTAGAAGTTCTTATAACATAAGGGTGGACGGTTTTGGCTGCTTCTTGGATAAGGATAAGGCAGGTTTGAATTAGATAAGGATTAACCTAAGAGTTTGAATCCTTCTAGGATTTTATCTACGATCTATAAATAGACTGCTATGGGAAAACCTTGGGATTGGTTATTCACTTTAGAAATCGTTCATCTCTCTCCCCTCTCAGTATATGAAATTTCAAACCTCTCTCCTAGGGTTAGAGAATTTCGATTAAAACCTAAACTAGGGTTTTTTTTCCTTTTGCTTTTGGTGTTTGTGGATCTGAATGCATTAGGGGGGGGGGTTACTTTGGATCCTTCATCCATTGCAAGTGCTAGCATGTACAAGATCTCAATCGAGCAATCAAGAGGTTAATATGCTTTTCTAGTTGATTTTTAAAGTTCATTGATATAACTAGTAAAGCCTAGATCTAGGGTGCATGTACACTTAGGTAAATCATTTGATTGTTTCCGCTATCTTTAGATAGTGTATTGATGCTAATAAACCCCCCCCCCCCAAAGGGACATATAGGTATGGTCATACATTTTTGTTGGGTTCATAGAAGTATAGACTGATTGGCAGGTTGTCGCAAAGTAAAGGTTGACCTGTCGATGAATGCTTTGCCTCCTGGAAGGAAGTATCGGGGTTAGCCACATGCTGATTATTTCGACCTCAAAGTATAAGAGTTGGGATCTGGTGTTGTGGTGTGCGACTTTACTTGTCATCGGAAGTAAGGCCATTTCGAATGGACAGTAGTTCATCTTCCATCACACGATGACGTGCAACATTTTTGCGGTAGGAGAGTGTCACTGGACCAATATCCTGTGACCGTGTTGACCTAGAAGACGAAGACCATGTCACTAGATGACCTTATCATTGGGTTCAAAAAGGGGTCGCCTAGACCAATGACATTGTTAGTCTAGTCGTTTCCATCTAGCTGAGCCATTGCCGAGCTTGATAATAAAGGGGATCGTTGCGGATTAGACACAACTGGTTGGCGACTAGTGTGATTCCATAATGAGCCCATGGAAGGGTGTAACTAGTTGGCTTGCATAATCGGGGATGGTTGGTCTCAGGGTTTTATCGGGGACCTCGGGATGTCGTACGGGCAAGAAGTAGTGTCAAACTTAAATCCATGTCAGGGTGGAGGTGATGTTCTAGTGGCGGATTCAGGTACAGAGACATGAAATTAGGCGGAGGTGTTCTAACGTTGAACTGAATCCGAAGGAAATGATTTAAAGGTTAGAAACACATATGGAAGACGAAGGGTTTGTTTTTGAAATTAGATTTTTTTTCATGTCTTTTAATGAAAAATTGGATTAAATGCTTTCGACTTTTATTCTTGAAATTAGTTAAATGTTTTAGGCTTTGGTTCAGTTAAACTTGAATGTTTTTTAAGAACATGTTGAGTGCTCTTGAAAATGTTAACCGTTAGGTTGAATACTAGTATTTGAGCTTGCACTTTGTCCTAGGTTTTTAAGTGTTTTTCATGTGTATTAGGCATGGAAATTGATTAAACTAGTAAAACATATCACAACTTCCTACAACACTAAAAGTTTAAAATAAATGAGCGTTAGACGATTTATCAAAAATAGAGAAGAGTTTAGGGACTATTATTGTAAGTTGTATGGTTTTGAATAATCAATGTAGGACCATTACATTGACCAAAATACAATGGTATAAACGCAAAGACTAAAAATGACAACAACCAAAATACAAAGACTAAAGTTCGACAAAAAGAAGTGTGCTGCCACTTCAACCTAGATTAAAAAAACACGTAAACATACACAAAATTTATATTGAATTGTTAATAAACTCGAATTTATATCGACACGTACAAAAAATAAGCAAATAATTTTTTTTAAAGTTAACGAATGAAAGTTATTATATAAAACCAAGTTATATATAACACGGGGGATAAACACGAAAATGTAGAAAATAGAGGTGATAAAAATGATATTTTATAAAGTTCAAAGTTGAGGGTCAAAGTATCATTCTAAAAAATAGAGTGGTGGAAAAATACATTTTCAAAAATGTTTAGAAAATAAAGGAATGAAAGTGATTTTAGAATGTAAGTGATGCATTATACAAACTTAGAGAAATTAAATATGACATGATGTAACATGAAGTGTGCATTATATACATTCTACAATATGTCTTATAAAATGCACTTTTAGTTAAGTAAAAACCATTTACATACCAAACTTTCAATTTTACATTTTAGTTATATTTATAATTCTAGAAATATCAATTTGTATTAGATTGCTACATTAGTGATGTTACCATTTTACCCTTAGAGTTTTGATGAAATGGCGTTTTTGATAATGTTTTTCTTAGTTCAAGCGTTCGGTTAGTGAAAAAAAAAACATCAAAAACCTTTTAAACCAAAAGCAAACTGCATTTAGTCGGGTTACACTTACGCCTTGTTTCCGAGTTTTTTTGTAAATTCATTAAAAGAAAGGGAAGGAAAATTTTGACCGAAAGAAAGTGAGGTGAAAGAAAATATTCATTATTCCGTGTTCCCGAGCTCGAAGAAAATGAAAGGAAATTTTTTAGTTTTTGTGTTCCTAAGTTAGGAGGAAAAAGAAAATAAAACTTAAAATTTTCATTTTCCTCATTTTCTTTTCAAATCCCCCAATTTAGGAAAAAAAATTTGGAAGGAAAATATGGTTTCAAAATCTTTTTCCACCCCTCACTTTTCTTCCATTAATGAAACTCGGGAACAAGATTTTCCTTCGACACCCTTCACTTTCCTTCCCTTCCGTATCTTCCCATTGCTATCCTTAAGTAAAACTCGGGAACGTTACATTTTTCCTATAATAAATATCAATTAAAAAAAAAGTGGGGGTAGAATGGTAAAAATGCAAAATAAAATTGAAAGGAAGGTTCAAAATTACTTTGGTATGATGTGTGCGTCGGAGTTGTTTAACGCGGAAAGCCTAGCCTAGCGTATATTACTTCTATCGCCTTTCTGGATCCAATCAAAATCCGGTGACGGCCGACGGTTCTTCGCGATCTCCGGCAACCACAACAACAAATCCGACTTTCTTTCCTTAAATTATTAATTATATTCTTCTTCCTCTTAATCTATTGTATTGGAACTGTCACTTCATTCATACTCATCCCTCGAGATCCGAAGTCTTACTCTACTCATTAATCAAAGGAACCTCATTGCTCTTGACACTGTGTAAGTATTTGTAAATCTATTTTTGTTCTACAATTTACTATTTCACTCGTTCTTACTATGAGATCTGAATTTTGTATCTTCGAATTTCCATCTACCCTATGATGTTTGAATTCTGATTATCGGCGTCACGTTATTGACATTTAGGACTTTAGTTATTGTTACCTAAAATGCAGACAATAGAATTACAGATGCTCGAGTAAATCTTAAAGTTTTAGAACGATTTGATCTCACTTAGAGGTATCATCATAACAAATTGAGTCTAATTTCATGTAAACAATTACTAGTCACAGATTTTGGAGGAGAATTGATATTATGCAACACACATAAGATGACAGATGAAGAATTAAATTAAGAACTTGAAAGAAAATACTCAGTTTCACCTTCAGTTATATGCATAGAAATGATAGAGTTTTCTTATTCATTCTTCATGGAGTCTTCAATTAGATGAAGTCATACTAACTACTAACCATGTAATTTTACAGGTGAACCTATGCATACAACTCTCGATTCTCACAACACACAAAAACATGAAGAGTTTCATTCTCAAGAGTTCAACAAAACCATATGAAGGGAAGATGCAAGTCTTCATTTTTCTCTTACCCTTAACTTTCTTAGCTTAAAACTTCCAAATTTCTCCAAAAATGGCATTCAATGGAATCACAGAAATCTTTTCTTCATTCACAAGTCGTTTCTCAACTCCAAAATCTTCAACAAATCAATACGTATCATCTGGATTACCACCACTAGGATCTGGTGGTGGATCTGTTCATGGCTATGGTTTTCCTGGTTCTAGACAAAAGAATCTTCTCAGACTCTCATCCTCCCTCCAAGATTTCTCAGCATACCGAAGACTCGATCCAGAAAATGGCAATTTTACCCCTGGAATCGAACCAACCTCATCAAACATCAACCAAATTTTACTAAGAGAAAATGGAACCACAAGTTTCTCAAAAGAAAAACCGTCATCACAAACCACGATTAGAAGAAAATGGGTACGTGCAATCATGGTTCTCTTTTGTCTACTTTCATTGGCTTCTATCATCTATGGTTTACTCTTTCTATATTCCAACTGGACTCAATCTTCCGGAAGATTCTATGTTGTTCTAGATTGTGGAAGCACTGGAACACGTGTATACGTCTACCAAGCATCCATAAACCACCAAAAAACAAACGTTCTTCCCATTTTGTTAAAATCAATCCCTGAAGATCTCAAAAGCAAACCAAGTTCTCTAAGTGGGAAAGCCTACAATCGAATGGAAACCGAACCTGGATTTGATAAATTAGTCCACAATGTATCCGGATTAAAACAAGCAATAAAACCACTTCTTTTATGGGCTGAAAAACAAATCCCCAAACATTCACATAAATCCACTTCTGTGTTTCTTTACGCCACTGCAGGTGTTCGACGCCTCCCTGATTCCGATTCCGATTGGCTTTTAAAAACCTCTTGGTCGATTTTAAAAAAATCATCTTTTTTATGTAAGAAAGAATGGATTAAAACCATAAGTGGAATGGAAGAGGCGTATTATGGATGGATAGCTTTAAACTATCATGCTCGTGTCCTTGGATCTTCTTTACCAAAAAAAGAAACATTCGGTGCACTTGATTTAGGTGGATCATCTTTACAAGTGACATTCGAAAGCAATGATTATGTCAACAATGACACGAGTTTGAATTTACGGATTGGCCCTTTAAACCATCATTTAAGCGCGTATTCTTTAGCGGGATACGGTTTAAACGACGCGTTTGATAAATCTGTTGTCCATATTTTAAAAAAAAGTCCGAATTCCATCAAGGGTAATTTGGTCAAAGGAAAAGCCGTGATCCGACACCCGTGTCTCCAATCTGGATACAAAGAGAAATACATTTGCTCCCAATGTCTTTCCGCTTTCCAAACATCAAACATAAAGAGAAACCTTTTGGGTAAAGGGGTAAAATCGGGAATTCCCGTTCAACTAATCGGATCTCCAAAATGGGAAGAATGTAGCGCGTTAGCTAAAGTAACGGTAAATTTATCCGAATGGTCAAATATAACCCCGGGACTCGACTGTGATTTACAACCGTGTGCCCTTCAAAATTCCCTCCCTCGCCCCTACGGGAATTTCTACGCGATGTCCGGTTTTTACGTGGTGTATCGTTTTTTCAACTTGAGTTCCGATTCTGCCCTTGATGATGTTCTAGAAAAAGGGCGTGAGTTTTGTGAAAAAACATGGGAGTCTGCTAAAAGAAGCGTGCCACCTCAGCCTTTTATAGAACAGTATTGTTTTAGAGCGCCTTATATTGTGGTGTTGTTGAGAGAAGGGTTGCATATAACAGATAGACAAGTGAATATTGGGTCAGGGGGGATTACATGGACAACTGGGGTTGCATTGTTGGAAGCTGGGAATTCAGTATCGAGTAAAAAAGGGTTTTATGATTATAGATTATTTGAAATGAAGATAAATCCGGTTTTTGTTTATGTGATTTTGATTGGATCGTTGTGTATGGTGATTTGTGCATTGTCATTTGCGGGGAATTGTGTCCCGAGGTTTTTTCGGAGGTTTGTGTTTAGGCGGAATAATGGTTCAGGGAGTTCCGTGCTGAGTATATCAAGTCCTTTTAGTTTTCGGAGGTGGAGTCCGATTATTTCAGGTAATTTTTCTATTATAGAACTCAACTTCTTTTCAATTGAAAAAAAAAACTAGCCAAATAGATTGGTATTTTTGGTATGTAAAACAGTAAAAGTACTGATTTGTTGTATGTGAAAAACAGGGGAAGGAAGGGTTAAGATGCCACTGAGCCCAGTGGCAAGTTCGCAAAACCGAGCCTTCAGTCCGGATATCCAGCTGGCAGAATCATCTTCGCTAAGCAATGTTGCACATAGTTTTTCTTCAAGTAGTCTCACCCAATCCCAATTTGATAGTAACAGTAATACCAGTGGATTCTACTCGGGCCCACACCGAGGCCAAATGCGCCTGCAGAGTAGACGATCGCAATCCCGTGAAGACCTTAATTGTTCTGTTGCTGATGCTCATTTGGTCAAAGTCTGAGGTACTACCACTACCACTATCTCCTGTTTGACTTTTTTTCCTCTCAGAAAATCAAAATAAATATCAGTCAACTCATGGTCAAATCACACATGTTCAGCTGTGCTTTGTAAATACGTTGACTGACTGACATGTTGACTATGATGCATGGTTTGACTTTGACCAAGTTGTCACGAGGTTTATTTTGGTTTGGGATGGAATATGTTTGTGAGGAGAGGGGAGGCCTAATGAAGGATAAGAAAATTTTGGTTAACATATTTTGGCCTAATGGGGGGATTAGATTTTTTTTTTTTTTTTTTTTTTTTTTTTGTACAATATTCGATAGATGTTTTTGGCTAAAGTTATATTTATATTTTTCGGTTTTATTATCATCAGTCTTTGGGTTTTTCAGTTTATAAATAGTTAACGAAGTTTGTCTCGATAAAGTTAATGGTTTCTTTTTTGGACTGAATAAATGTTTGGATAAAGTGGTTAGTTAAGGGTTGTTTCATTATTGATGAATTTACATCTTAAGAATTTTATAATTGTTACAAATATAATTGTTACAGATAATTCTAAAAAAAAATTGATTGTCGAAAAAATCTTAAATCTAAACTTTTCTATTTTTATTTTAAATCTTTAAACAAATATAAAGTTTTGTATTTATAAATAATTAAAAAAAAAACAGAAAAGAATAGATATTGTCTCCTATACAACGTCATCATCGTGATTAGTAACATAAAACAGTGAAACTACATACATTCACAACTCCTAGTGCATCAAATTTCACACTCATATAAAATGAATGTAATTGATTCATCTTTCCTGGATGTAGATCACAACAAATGCCTCGGTAATTATCTCAGCTAAATCCAGGCTCGTTTCATCTAAAGATCCACACGAGCTGATTTTCAGTCGAAAACAAAGAAGAATGATTGCAATGAACTTTAGTTTGTAGATTAAAAAATGTTAAATATAGAAATGGCGTTGACTAGAGAGGGATGAAATCTAGAACACGTTGGTACAAAGTAGATGTCCGTTGGGTTAAAACCTAAAACACATAGATGTCGTTTGTTTTAGGTTAAAATATATAGATGCCGTTTGTTTTTTCAGAAAAAACTTTGTGATCTCTTGTAACTGCTAGCTGGTAGACACACAAACATTAAAACAAAAGACTATATATCTATTTTTTTTTACAAGATTGACATAAAAAGGTCTAGATTAACTTTTTTTTAAAAGACAAAAAATAGATTATGATTTTGAAAGATATCTTATAATTTCTAATAAGTTACTTTTTCCAACACTACTGTAACCATCTTCGTCTCCGCCACCACAACCACCACCTCTGCCAATGCATCACCACCACCTCTGTTGTCACCACCACCACCGCCACCACTACTTTCACCACCACCACGACTTGGTTTTTTGTTTGATATCATCAATGATCCATATGATTTAGTATTAGTTATGCAACTTGCAAATAGGTTTTTACCAGAATGCGGACTTTTTGTCCACATATTCTTCTACAAATATGGAAAAAAACTACAAACATTTCACCTCTTAAAAATAAACAACATAGTCATAATTAACCGGAACACCAGTTAAATTTAGAACTTAGAGTTATATGTGATCTTCATTAATTAATGAAAGCTTTCTATACTTTTGAAAGTTAAAATAACATAAAAAAATTCTTATGAAGGGATATTTATTAATTAGCGTTATTATTTCCTAAGGAACCTTCATAAATTTGAAAGAGTTGGTTTGTAATGTATTTATGTACAAATAAACTCTAGAGGCATCATATAATTGATATTCATAATTAACCAAAACATCAGTTATATTTAGAAGTTAGAAACTATATATGATATTCATTAATTAATAAATTTTTTCTTTATTTTCAGAAGTTAAAATAATGTAGAATATTTTTCTTATGAGTGAATGTGTCGTTAATCGATGGTTATAATTGCCAAACCTCTGTTAAACTGGAAGTGTTGGCCTGTAATGTTTTTGTATACCGATGTACTCCAACAACATAACTAATTTTATATTAATAAACTGGAAAATCACCTACAGTTAGAAGTTAGAAATTTTATTTGATCTTCATTAATTAACAAAAGTTCTCTTTAATTTCAAAAGTTAAAATAACGTAGAATATTTTTCTTAAGACGTAAAATATTAATTTAATTTCTTCGTTAGCCCACATATCATGAAGAAGACAGGAAACAATATGAGAGAATAAGTACCATATAAAAAGATGACAAAACAGCTTTAGAAAGAGCATTCAACACGTCAACATTGTCATCAATAATTGATGGTTGGTCTGTAATAGATTTCTTTGTTCATGAACTCCAAAAGCATAACGAATTTTATGGTCATAATCAACATTAACATCACTTTTATTTAAAAAGTTAGAATTCTCTACGATTTTAATTAAAATTAATGGAGGTTTATTTGTCTAGTAGGTTCGGTCGTCATGGTGGAGACCATGACACTGGTCGAGTCGTCGACCCGGTTTTGGGAAGAACGGGTGTCTCCGATGTAGATTGAGAATATGATTCGAGGCCCGACGAAAGAAGAAAGAGTTGGTGCATGTTCAGGCACCACTGGAAGTTCAAGACTGTTGATGCTCATTAGTAGATCAGGGAGTTGCGATTCTTGCAACATGTATGGAAAGGCGCACATAGGAGTTTATCAGGCTTACGACTTAAGGTGTTTCGGATATGGTTAGGAGAATACTTGCAGCTAGGAGTGTAAGTAAGGAGAGAAGAAAGTATAATTCTCTTCACAATCAACTAGATCATGTCAAGATGATTGTCTTTGTTGGACCGGAAGAATGATCCAACACCCGTCGTTGTGGCTAGTATGTTTTTGTTATGTTATGATGGTCTGTTATAATCATGTTGTATAATCATGTTGTTCATCAGGTTGGGTATTGTAATTCGACCAACTTTGGTCTTGTCTTAGTTTGTCAACTTAGTCTTTTTAATTTAGACATAGATAGGGACCAAAACCGACCACCAATCCAAAAATATTGGAATTTATACCTTTTTTCTAAAAAAAAAATAGATACACATAGACCATTTTTTTTCAGTTTTGTCTAGGTTTTTATATATAGTGATGATGATAGGGATAATGACTTAAAAAGGTAATATATTTTTGGATTTGTATACATTTGGTTACTGAGTTTTTTTTTTCGTCCACATTTACCCATTCGACTTGTTAAACTGTACACATTCAGTCCTTATAACTGGTTACTCCAAGTTAGCTGGGAAAAATGACTTAATAGGGTAATACATTTCTCATTTTGTACACATTTAGTCCTTAATATTTTTATTGTTTCAAAATAAGCCATTTTTGTTTTTGTACCAATTCAGTATTTATGAATGATTTCTTTAGGTTTTTCTCTTGACATCTTAAGTGAGACAATCATTGATAAGTCGTTTGGGGCTGTTGATGCTTATGTCAATCGCGATTTCGACTACTTTGTTGTGTAGGTCTTGTGTTCTGAACGTCGTAATTTTTTCATACGATATTAGATTTTAACGATATTTATATCCACGTGTTCGTTTTTTAGTCTGCTACAACTTTCATTAAGATTACTCCCGTTAAAAAATAATATATTTTTACTTACGATCTTTATATCCATATGTTTTTAAAATTACTCCAGTTCAAATGTAATATATTTTTACTTACGATTTATAAAAAAACATCCATACATGCATTTATAAAAAATGTATGGATATAAAGATCAGAGAAATCTCCAGAAAAGTCACAATATTTACAGAAAAGTTACACTTTAGTCCCAATATTCTTTTTAAACGAAAAACTCCTAAAAACCGGCAAAATTTTGCATTTAACCCTTATTGACCGGTTGGAACCGGTACCAAATTAATTTGGGACTATTTTGTAAACTAACAAAAAATATTATGACTTTTCTGTAAACAAAAATATTAGGACTTTTCTGCAAACAAAACCATTATTATTATTATTATTATTATTATTATTATTATTAATATAAATAAGAATACTATTTTTTGAACTTGTATTATTAATATTGTTAATAATACATATAAATGAATAAATAATATTAATGACATTGTTTAAGGGTGGAGGTGTAGGAGATAGTGATGTTTTTAATATTGAAATTATGAATGTCTGCTTGTATATTTTTACTTTGTATATGGTCATTTCACATTTGTTATTATTGTTTTCAATTTAGAATATTAATACTTAACAATTTAAAAGAAGTTGCATATTTGTAAAATTGTTTATAAATAGTTGAAGGTAGAATGATTTCTCACTTTGTATATAAAATTGTTTAAGGTTAAATGATTACTTTCCAAATCCTACAGATCCACTACAAACATCTACATAGGTAGCCCATATCAAAATTCAAAAATATTAATTACATTATCTTTTTTAATAAAAAGTAATATGAACAATTCAAAAGTATTAATCAAAATTCAAAAGTATTAGTCCAAAAAACATGTCCTATTACTTTTTATCAAAAAAAAATATTGTAATTAATACTTTTGAATTTTGATAAGGGCTACCTATGTAGATGTTTGTTGTGGATATACAAAGTGAGAAATCCTTCTACCTTAAACTATTTATAAACAATTTTTATAAATATGCAACTTCTTTTAAATTGTTAAGTATTAATATTCTGAATTGAAAACAATAATAACAAATGTGAAATTACCATATACAAAGTACAAATATACAAACAGACATTCATGATTTTAATGTTAAAAGTATCACCATCTCCCCCTCCTCCACCCTTAAACAATGTCATTAATATTATTTTTTTTATTTAAATGCATTTATATGTATTATTAACAATATTAATAATACAAGTTCAAAAAAATAGTATTCTTATTTATAATAATAATAATAATAATAATAATAATTTTGTTTGTAGAAAATTCCAAATATTTTTGTTTACAGAAAAGTCTCAATATTTTTGGTTAGTTTATGAAATAGTATCAAATTAATTTCGTACCGGTTCCAATCGGTCAAAAAGCGTCAAAATGCAAATTTTTGCTAGTTTTTAAGACTTTTTCGTTCAAAAAAAATCTTGGGACTAAAGTGTAACTTTTCCGTAAATATTTGGTTATTACGTTTTAACGGGAGTAATCTAAACGAAAGTTGTAGTAGACTAAAATACGAACTCATGGATATAAAGATCTTAAAATTCGAGATCGTGTGAAGAAGTTATGACATTCAGAACACATGACCTATGCAATCAAGTAGTTGAGATCGCGATAGACATAAGCATCAAAAGCCCTAAACACCTCATTAATGATTATCTCGCGTAAGATGTCATGATAAAAACCTAAAGAAATCATTTATAAGTACCGAATTATTAGAAAAACAAAAATAACTTATTTTGCAACAAAAAAATATTAAGGACCTAATGTGTACAAAAATATTAAGAACTAAATGTGTACAGAGTGAAAAATATATTACCCTATTAAGTCATTTTTACCGGCCAATCTAGAGTAGATGGTCATAATGACTAAATGTATACAGTTTAACAAGTTGAAGGGGTAAATATAAACATAAAAAAAACTCAGTAAGTAAAGATATACAAATTAAAAAATATATTACCCTTTTACGTTACTTTGTACGGGCAAAAAATACGGGGACTTCCGCATGGGATAAACCCTTAAAAAACATAACAAACGCCTCTCACGTCGCTTCCATCGTTCAACGGCTCTCTCATCTCTCTCGATTCAGGTTGTGTTCTCTCGATTCGATATGTTCTCTCTATAGTTTGTTCTGTCTCGTACGATTTATGATATTGATTTTTCTGCATTATTTTCTTCTTTGTCGTCTGATATGTGCACGACTTCCGAATTAAGTATCTGCTAATCAAAATTTTGGGGGCAAGTTGAAGATTTTGACCTATTAATTACAACTGAATCCTTTAAACCCTGAAATCATGTTGCACATCAATCTGTCTATGTTTCTCTGATAACATCACTAACATCTTTTTCAAAAAAAAAAAAAAAGTAATTCATGATAAACCCTGCACTTTGATCTCTTTCTTGAGAAAAGAAATCAAACATCTAATGTGAAGAAGTATTCTGTCTTAATAA